ATTAAAACAACAAGAAGATCAACTGATACAAACCGTTCAAACAAGTAAAAAATTCAAACACGTGTTGAAGCAGCACCACCATTCAATTAATAAAGGCAAATTAACCCAATTCCAACTCAAGAAAGGCAGAGCCCTTTCCTCTCCCCTCCCACCACATAGGTTTCTCAACAATTGAACCCAGAAAATAAATAAGTTTCTAGAAAAAGGCCATAAAAAAGCAACTTGCTCATAGAATTGCGGGAATAAACATCAGTAATGGGGAAAAAAAAAAGAAAAAGAAAAAGAAAAAGGGCCGCTTGGACAAGTTTTGAAATACCTCGACGGCGCTTTTGAGCAAAACGTCATCTTCCGGCGGCCACTGAGAAGGGGGAAACATAGCTCCCATTGTTGTACGGTCTTCTTCTTCTCAGCACCTCCCCTCTCCGCCGCTTTTCTTTTAATTTGTTCTGCTTTTAGTTTTGGAAGTTTCTCTCACAAGTGTGAAGGATTGAGACATGAGGGGCCGAGCAAATAATATTAAACCTTAAATAGGTCAAGTTAAATATATCTATTTGGAGAAGGACTTTGGGTCGGCCCGTGGGTGTGACACAAATCGGAAAAACATAATATTTGCTAAATCAAATATTTTAAATTACATCTATCTACCGACTGCTTTTTAATTTTATTACGTCAATTGTCTGAATATTTGACTGGTGGCCTACTGGAATTGAGGAGATTTTCTCCGAGAAATTTAAATTTAATTCTGAATTCATGCAAGTTTGGTATAATAATTAGGGTGGGATTGCATAGATTTAAAAAGAAAAAAAAGGTTTCCACGAAAAGTTATTTAAAAAAAAAAAAAATAGATATATTGAGATAGTGAATTGATGTGAGATGAAAATATAATAATAAAAGTTGGTGTAATATATAATAATAAAATATTAATAGATAAGATAATAGTTAGAAATACGTGACTGGACTTAATATCTTTTTATTTTTTAATTGTTTTAGTGAAATTCACAACAAGAATAATCATTTTTAGTGGCGATAATTTTTGTCGCTATATGGTAGGATGTCGTCACAAAAAAAAATTGTCGCTATACGTTCGAATGTCGTCACAATAATTATTTTATAATCATGAAATTAATGTCGTCACTAAAATTAGTGTCGCTAAAAATGATTATTCTTGTAGTGATTTGTAGGGAAAAAATTAAAATTAAATTAGTAGTATGTTTTTGTGATAATTTATTTTTTCAACGTGAAGGGAGATTTGTACAGAAAAAGTTAAAAATATGTTAGTAGATACAGGAAATGCTATGGAGTCATCCGATGATTCCGTTATGGAGCCATCTAATACGTTTTTCAATCAGGATGGCTTCATAACGGAGTCATTGGCTCCATAGCAGTAGTAGATACTTTTACCATGGTTCAAAAGATATTGGTTACTTTTTGCAATTTTATTGCGGTGAGTTGGAAAAAAATTTCTATGTATGCATCCGCATAGACCTAGTCAAGTTGACTATGCAATGTTTGTTGCAATTCCGACGAGTCCAACCATTTCTTGGTGCTAATTATGTTATGTTTTTTTAGTTAGTGTCGTATTAGGTACTCCTCCTATTTTTATTATTTGTCATTTTGATTTAATTGATCATTTGTTAAATAGAGAGTGGGCGGTGCTTTCTCGATCCGATTTCTCACTTGTTCTCTTAATCAATTTCGAGTTGGCGTTTCAACTGCTGAAAGTTGCTGTTAGTAGGTTCGAATGTGGAAAACCAGGGTAAAGGCATAGATAGAACGATCTATCTAAGGTTATGACCCCTGTAAGTGATATATGCAAAACGAACAAAAGGCACCGCTCGCTTTGTCTACATCACCTATATAGGTGTTTTGCATAGGAATTAAACCTAACACAATTCCAAAGAGAAAAACTTCAATCATTTCCATTTTTTTTTGAAAAGGAGAAAAAAAAGAGGTAATATCTATACCTAACATAGTAATTAAAATTCACGTGAATCTCAAAGACCAAAAATTGTCAGTTGGCCTGGTAAGTAACTATAGAATACACAGAATGTTACAGAAATGTCGTTTTAGCTATTTTGTACATATTTTTCCATTATTACCCTCATCTAATTAATAAATACAATTTTCATATTCATTCTCCATATTTTCTCAAAACATCAATCTCTATCCTCATTAATGAGGGTTATTATGGGCAAACAAAATATTCTTAATTACTGTGCAACTTCTCAAAACGACATTTATTAAAAATAGGAGGTAGTATATTTTACATCAAAAATTCGATGTAATCATCGGATGATTTTCTTATGGAGCCATCCATCACTTAATGTATTGACACTTGGCTAAATTGTATTTATTGTTGGACACGTGTCAATATACTATTGGTGAATAAGTGTGGATGACTCCATAAGTCGAGCCATCCGATGACTCCATAGCAAAATTGTATTTTACATTTACTAAAGTTAATGGCTATTATTTCCATCGGCCAACATGGATATAAAATATTCTGATTTTGTTTGAATTTTTTTGTTTGGTATGATTAATTTGAAAAAAAGTGGTATAGATAGTTGTTAGTAGGATTTTGGGTTTAAATAAAAATATTATTTAAAATAATATTAATTTGATAAAAAGTGGTATAGATAATTGATTTGATGCAAAAGTAAGAGAGAGATTATGTGAAGTGGTGGTTAGTTAAATTATGTAAGCGGATGAATAGTGAAAAATTGATGTAGTGTGTAAAAATTATGAGTGATATTATTTAATTATATTGATAATATTGAAAGATAGTGAGAAGGTTGAGTTAGATTTGAGATAAATTTAGTTAAAAATGATTGGATTTTTTTAAAAAAAATTGTATCCAATTTTTACAATTTTCTTAAGGTAATTACACCAAATCATGAATAGTCAATCAAATTGCATCATTTTTTTTATTTATTTTTTTTGGTAAAATTAACTCTTATAAACCCATTAATATAAGTACTCTCAAAAGTAAAAAATCACACATCATAATTCAAATCTCAAGTTGAAAAGCTTGAAAGGATACTTTCTAAGAGATTTAAGGATTTCATGAAAATATTAAGGCATACTTGAATATTCAAACAATAAAGTTAAGACCGGCAAATTGCATCAATAAAGTCAAGACTAACGTTCAATGCAAAATCAAACCTACAAACCTTCATATTACGTCAATAAAGTCATTTAAGTCTGTAGCCTTTGAATCATGGTGTGGTGGAAGAGACTGAAGACCCAGCGAAAATCAATAATTCACAGTTTCCATGTTCTTGGAAAGTTATGTGTTTGATCTGAGAAGGTCCGACAAAAGGCTATTAAGCCCTCGGGTCACCAATCAAACACAATTTGATAGAAGATCAAAGAATCGGTTCCGGTAAGAATTATCCTTTATAAAATCGTGTTTTAATTTTATTTCAAGAATAAATTGTTCGACAAATATTAATATTGGTGAACTCAAGTTCAACCCCGAAGAGGATCCAATCGGCGACTCTACCTCGAAGATCCAAATTTAAGTCGAATAAGACAAGAATAAAAAGAGTTAAAGATATTGTACTTGCAACAACATTCAATTCAATAAAGTTCAATTTTTTTTTTTCAATTATTAAATATTTCTATATAAAATAGAGATTGTACCCAAAGCAACATTCGATTAAGTAAAATTCAAGATGTACAATTATTTTATGTTTCCATATAAAATTTGTTGTTACAATATGTTCTCTATATCTTTTGATGTTCTGTTAGGTCATCTTCAACCATTATCTCAGCTATACTGTAAAGTTTATTTTATGTTTCCATATAAAATTTGTTGTTACAATATGTTCTCTATATCTTTTGATGTTCTGTTAGGTCATCTTCAACCATTATCTCAGCTATACTGTAAAGTTTATTTTACTCTAAAGTAAAGTGATACAATAATTAAATTTCGTCTCCAATCGTTCACTTTATATTTTACTTCATATGTATTGTTTACATTATTTTAATTTATTTAGCATGCCAAAATGTAATTTAATTAGAAATTATTTTATACAATAAATATTTTTATGATTAGCGGGCTTGCTACTGGTTAAAAATATTACTAGATAAATAATTATTATTTTCTTATAATATTTTGATTCATTAGATAGTAATTCAATACGAATATTCTTTTTTTCACAATAATATTTTTATATAATTTTAGAATCACATTATAAATTTATTGGTACAAATTTTGTAAAAATAGTAAAATTTAAGATAAACTAAATACAAATAATATACAAAAATACAAATTTATGAATAGTACCGTGTCAAATATAACGCAATACTAATTAACTATAGAGTAGCGCAGGAATACAGCGCAATACTGTACTACACTTTTGACAAATTCTAGCGTTTTATGCTAGAGTCACGCAGCATGGAGCTGCTCTTAAAGACTGTTCCGTAGATGTCCATTTGAATTATGTGTTATTCTTGATTATTTGCATTTTAGAAGTTTCACACATACAAATTTCCCATAGAAATTTGGTATAACAAAGGACCAAATATTAAAATAACGTTAAGATGATATGCCTACTTTGGATTAGACATGGCGAAGTCCGGTTCCAAGGCCCTATTTCGGGCAGACAGTCTTGAACAGGTCCGAACATATGCACGAACTGGTTCAGTGAATGGGCGGTTCCAGTTCTGTTCAGTGAACCGTTGGTTTTGGGCCAGCCCAGTTCACTACAAAATAATGAAAAATGATAAATAAAAAAAATAAAAAAAAAATAAAAAAGCCAAACCGCCAGTTTTGGTTGGGAACTGGCCTGACGGTACAAAAGGTACATAAACGTGGCTCTGAACAGGCCCGGTCAAATCTTGGGCTCAATTCAAGGCCCGCTGACCACAAGCCGGTTCCAGACCAAATCGGCGGGTCAGTTCAGTCCGTGGTCATGTCGACTTCGGGCTCTGTTAACAATTTTTCCCTCTTGCACAGCCACACTTAAGTAGTTGTGTCCACTGGTTTGAAATTGCATGTTCAAGTTACTCGGTTCCTTTAAATCAAAATTTTGTTGATTGATTGACAGATCTAGCTTCGGTTCAAAATTATCTCAACCCTCCAAAATGTTCTATTTTATTGAAAGTTTGGATGTAGAATCAGTGATTATTATATATATGTTGATCGACGGTTTTTATCAAATATAAGTATCGATTAATCGTCGGTAATCAAGTGTTTAAAATTAGACGATTCAAAGTTATTTTTGCATAGGGAGAAGATTCAATGAGGTCGGACTTTAAGGGTTCGAGCTCGGATACTCCATTTTTCATTGTTGAATTAATCACAATATCTAATGTTCTTTATAGAGAGAGAATTTTTCTGTGTCGTTCCAAAATGTATTCCTAGGACTATTTATAGTAAGGTATTATGCCTAATCAATGTTCATCTGGTCACATCAATTTAATGTCGGATGACAGGAATTTAATGCGGACACGCTACCCTAAGGATCTAGAGCACATAGGCCTGCAGAGCCGACGTGTGTCTCCCATCGTTCATCATCAGTTTGTAAGTGGGATTATTATAATATTTCCGTCTTCAGTGCGCCTTTGGACTCCGACTATGGTGGCGCCTTGAGGTCGGATTGCCAACGTGTAATCTTTCGTTTTTATTTCCAAATCGGCCCCTATCTCTGAGTCTGGGTCCTTGAAGGGTATCCGACCTGAGGTCTTGTCTTCTGTAGTTAGCGACAATTTCCTTTATTACTTTCGCGCTTGTGGGATTAAACTCCGAACTCGCGCTTTTCGACTCAGATGTCAACATACATGCCTCTGAGTTCGGTGTGCAGGGGCATTTCTTCTAAGGTCGTCATCAGAATAAGTCCAAGTTGGTCAGAGGGTGGTTAATGGGCGTGTATCCAATCGACGCGTCCCCCGAGCTTTAATGACGGCATCTGAAAATTTCGTCATAATGAGGCGTGTCCGAATCCTTCTCTCCATCAACAGATGTGTCGTTTTAACCTTTAGCGACGTGGCGCTTCATCCGATTGTCGATCCATTTTCGGATTTTTGAATTTGAAGGGTTTTTGTTTTTTAAAAATTTTGAATTTGGACAGGTGGCTATCCGATTGGCCCACCCTCTTCATCGGTTGCGCTTCACGACCGGGCGTTTGTCCTATAAATTGGAAATTTCGATTCTTGAGAAGGTTTTTACCTTTGCAAAAAAATCTCAAGCTTCTTGTGTTCCTGAGAGAATCGCTCATCTGCAAGTACTGTGCGGATTAAGCTTCCACGTTTTCCTAATTTTTCGGTAATTTCTCTTAATCCTCTCATTTTTCTTTTGAACTTAAAGTATGTCGACTTCGTCGCATTGCGTAGTGGACTTCGAACCTCCGGCGACAAGGCCATTGCCTCAACCTCCAGCGCTGGCCCCCCCCATGGTGGTTTATTAGCCGTCTACATCCACGAGAGCAGTGGCGACGACTGCTGAGGAGATTCCGGCAAAGGAAGTGGTGTCGGTGACTACGACGACGACGGAGATGGTGACGGTGGTAGCTCCCCATCCCCGCCTTTGATGAACTGCCAGACCCTCTTCACACTGGCCCGACCACGAGTTTCTTCCTCTGGTGTGGGCCAAAGCTCTCCAAATTCGGCACTGCATGTGGTCAAGGTGGACGATCGATTTCACCGAAGGGATTGGCGGCTTGGTGGTCCTAGAAGCCCTGCAGTGGTCCCCAATATTGTTTGACGGGTTGCGCCACGCCGACGTTGAAGGTGGCAGATCTGCATCTGACTGCTAGTCGCGGAGGGTGGCAGAGGTGGCCGACGGGAGAGTGGAGGCGGCGATTGTCGGTGGCTGGATGATTGCGGCAGTGGCCGGTGGTGGGGTAGGCGATGGTCGACGGCGGGACGGGCATTTCAATCGTGAGTGTATACAGTGTGCGTGTGTGTGTGCGCGCATGTGAGAGAGGGAAAGCGTAAAATATACCCTTAATGAATGTAAATTTTTGGCTTTTTTTCCTGGCCATTGGATGATCAGATTTTGTGGCTAAAATGTATTATTATTTATTTCATTGAACACCATTTCACCAGAACGTAACTCTCTATTTATATATATATATGGATTGGTTCCAATGCATCCACTTATTTAAAGTGAGGACGTGAGACTCATTTTTAGCCACAAGATTTGGTACATCATGTAAGGCCAAGATTTACTCTTTTCTTTTTATTATTTTAATTATTTAAATATTATTTTGGCCCGTTGACTCTAGCGTTGACCGTTGACTTTTGGCGTTGACTTCTGATAAAATCCGTTAACTTTCGGCCTTGACCGTTGACTTCTGGTGTTGACTCCAGCGTTGACCGTTGACAATTAACTTTCCAACTAGGTTAGTTCTCTGTAGTTGCTAGGTAAGTTGTCTGTAGTTGCTAGGTTAGTAGTTGCTTGATTAGTTCTCTGTAGTTACTAGGTTAGTAGCTGCTAGGTTAGTTCTCTGTAGTTGCTAGTTTAATTGTCTATAGTTGCTAAGAGTTGTCCGCATTTTAAGAGCTGAGCGCATTTTAAGAGCGGGCCGCATTTGATCCGTCACCTATATATATATATATATATGATGTGGTTCAAATGAGAACCAAGTCCTAGCGTGAGAACCGTGAGAGCCGCTATTTTTAATTGTATGTAGTGCTATGATTGATTATATTTAGTGCTATTTTTAATCAGGATGTATTTTATTAAAAATAGCAAATTAGCATTTGTAAAAATGATAGCACAATGTAAGATTAAAAATAGCATCAAACACAATTAAAAATAGCATCAAATATGGTTTTCACGGTTCTCACACCAGAAAAGGTTTTTATTTGAACCACTCCCTATATATATATATATATATATATATATATATGTTGTACAATGAGTAGTACATTTATTCCAATATTATCACTTATATGAGAACAAATTACATAGTCATACATACCAATAACACACAACACCACCATTTTTTTTTCCAATGTCACAAAAACCCTTTGAAGACACTTATATCTGTCTCATTACTGCTTCAAATTCCACACAAAAGAGATTATTTAAATTATTCATATAAAATTCTACCCAAGCAAGGCGAATGTGGTGAGGTCTGAGGCGCTTCCGCCACTTTCCATTGCATTAAGAGGGAGTCCTAGAGAAAATATACGAGGTCCTTCATTAGAAAATCCAAGAACTGAATTGTAATCGGCTTCATTTTCAACTAATCCGTAGTGTGGGTCCTCTTGTATTGCATCCTGCACGTTCGGGTATTTATGAATAGTAAGTTAACAATTTGTCTTATTTCACATGTATGTATAAAATAAGCATAATTAACACGATCTTAAGGCCACGTTTACAATACATGATGCCATCACTGGCAAATGAAACAGGAAATCTGAATTACCATCATATAAAACATATGCAAATGCTCTACTGGGTATGTAATAAAAATGTAGAACTTAACAAGAACTCAAAAGGTTTATTGGGAAGAGAGTTTCTTACACATTCAAGCACAAGATTTCTGTGTATCTCTTCAACATTCCTCACCTGGAAATAATAGATAAGGAAAAAATAAAAATAAAAAATAGTTCAACTTCAAGCAAGAATCATGAAGAAGGTTACAGAAAGGGGGAATATTATTTATTTAATTGATTACCTTCTTCTTGCTGGTTTCAATCCGATTGCTGATAGTTTTATACTGCGTTGGATCAAAATGGTTAAAATTCCATAATTTTGAGTACATGAAAAATTACAT